TCAAGGCGTCTTTTTTTTTTTTTTTAACTGCAGGTTGAGGCTGAGGTCGTTGAAGAGGAGTGTGGAGACAGAAGTCCTGCCAACTCTTGTAAAGCCCCTCTCCATGACTCAGACAGCCCGTGTTTGTCTGCACGTCCCAGCAAACATGTGAGTGCTTTTGTTTTTACTTTTATTAAAAGTTCAATAGAGTTTCAATGAACTCATTCAAGGTCTTCAATAAATCTATATATTTTATAAGGTTCTGCATAAAAAAATAGGGATGCCATAAAGTTTGGGACTTAATTCAAAACCTGTGCTCATCCATTGACCTCATATTCCGCAGTAATGGGTTTTGACCACAACCTGCTGCGGTTCAGTTTTAAACTTGTTTTCCTCATGGGTAGTTTATTTACGTGGATCAGAATTGTTTGGAGGTATTTTAACATCAGGAACAAAGACAGGAGCAAGATTTACTGTAAGATTTGTTCATAAAACACCTAAAAGGAGCAAGACTTACTGTAAGATTTGTTCATAAAACAAAAGACACGCCTTAGCATTAAATACAATAGATGAGCAGTTTCCACATCAGTCACTTCCTTGTTGAGACCTACTTAATCGACACTGAGTTCGTTTGTGTAATAGAACATGGAAGTAATGCTACACAGTTCACGTGAAAGCAGGAGCGCGTTTGAATTGAAATGTGTTATTGGTTGTAAAGCTCTGCTCACTTTCTGTTTTTGTAAACTACGCAGCAACATTCATTTTACTTTTTATTTTTATTATAGTTGTATTCGTATATTGTCAAATGCTGCAACAATGTCAAATTTAATATACAACCATTCAGACTGTTTTCCGTGTCTCTCTGATAACTATAACACACTGTACTTAAGTTCATGGCGCATGAATTGAAACCTAACTGGAACAGACACAAATAAAAGTACTAGTACTTTACTTTGGTACTGTATGTTAAAAAAAACTATTTGAATAACCTAAATGAAATAAAATATATCATTATAATAAGGTATATCGGCCAATACTGACAAGCATGTAATGTAGAACCAACTGGACACACGGTGCATTTCTATGGAGGTGAAGTTAACTTTTAACTTGCAGGGTATTGTAGTAGTACCACAGTATCTGGAGTACTGTCAGCTAATCCTAAACTTTCTGGAGCATGGAGGTTGAAGGGGAGATGTAAATATGTCAAAGCTTTTATCTTTAAAAAAAAAAAAACAAACCCCACAGATGATTGGTTGATATCTGTGTGCTGCTGCATTGATGTCTGTCCTATATCACGGCGGTTGTGCATGTTCTCGGTGATGAAGTATGGAACTGAGCTGTGCCTACAGATGTTTTTGCATGGATCCCTGCTTCCCAGAAATTACACTCATTTAAATACACTTATTTTGCCCTAATAATCCTCGAGGGACGGCAATATGAGGCAGTGTAACTGTGATGAATGCACACAATAGTTGGATGATATTACTATTTCAAGCAATTTCATTCGGCTCTGAAATGAGAAGATATTGAGTCTTATTTAAGCAATCAATAACCTTGAACATTTTGTTTTAATGAAAACTATAATTTCACCAGTGGCAATTACACCGCAGGGGAATGTTTTGGTGTGGGTGATGAGTTTGCTGCTGCATGCACTTTTCTAATAAAGATATTCTTATCATGATAATTATTGACTTCTGGGGGCCCGTTATGACCCCTGCTAAAGACCCCATCAATAGCCTTAATATATTTCTCATCACCTTAAGTCGTACATGCATGTTGCTGATTCAGATTGGCTATGGATTCTATGGAATGACTATTAAATAATGGAATATAATAATAAAGGCGCCTGCACAGACTCAGCTACTTTCTGTAATGCTGTAATAATCCTGCCAACGGTTTTGATTTGTTAGCGCTGACACTCAAGGTTAAAAAATTTTTTTTTTTTTGCTCTCCCACCAGTGGAAATGACGGCGGAATTAATCCCTACTGTTTGTAAACAATGCTTTTCAGAAATGTTTCTTACGAAATGTCACAGTTTTACCAGCGACACACTGTAGCTGCGCTGTTTAAAAAGACATGAGCAACTCAACAACCCAGGCTTTCCTTCTGCTGTCTATTTCATAATGCAGCACATTTTAATTTGTGGACACATCTGGACCACAGGCAGGACTATCAATCACATGATCCCTGTGCCCATGAATCTCAGTCTAAATAAATTAGCAGAACCCAGCGTTTTTGCTAATTTATTTAGAAAGGGATTTTTTATTTAAAAAAACACATCAAGTTCCTGGAAGAAACATTTGACAATTCCAACTTAAACCCAGGGTGATTTCTAACCCTCACTTTTCTGGGTCCTCCATGCACGACAATAACATTACAGAGTCGTTCTATGCAGATGATGAGGCTTAAATTCACCATCTTGAACTAAGATCTTGACTTCTTTTTATTCTTATCTTTCAACAGATACTTTAAGATTCCTTAGAAGTCCACACGTTGATCCTTACAGAGACCCAACCTTTGTTGGACGCTCCTTTTATACTCGACCCTAATATACGTAAAAAACATGTTCCCTTTAGATTTTCTTTTTGATCAGTTTTTTAATATTTTTTAAAGTTGCAACTTGTCACACAAAAAAAATGTGTCACATATTGACTCGTTCTATCACCTTCATTGAAGTGAAGGCTCCTTTATTTTTTTTTCACCCACGAGACCAAACCACGTCCTCATCATTTACTGGGCCGTGAATAACAATAATAAGGGATAACTGCACTGCTATGACTCATACTTTGAGCTGGGCCGGACACATTCCCACCCACTCTACTGCTCATATGTGCTCGTGAAATGCCCCGTGTGTTCCATACGTACATGTGCACGTATGCACTAGATATTGATGACCAAATTCAATTACATGATTACATTTTCAGCCGTGGCTTTAAATGATTTATTGCATGGAATTTAAATAGTGAATATATTTACAGTCTCTGTACTGGGGAGGCAGTTGCGCGTGTTTGATATTGACCCACGCGGTCCAGGCCAAATAAAGAATAACGAGATTCAGCATCTCTGCCAAGTGGCGATGTCCGCTGGGAGTGAAGGCGGCCTATCTCCGTGGAAGAGAGGGAAGGATGGCGAACCCGACTCTGATGCACATTTATCAAAGCTTTTCTTACAGTCACTTGACTGACTTTTGTTGGGATTGACGAAGGTTGGGTTTTCCTTCAGACTGCACTTTGTTAAAGAGTTGATTGATTTGGGTTGGAGGGTGTGTGTGTGTGTGTGTGTGGGGGGGGGGGGGTGGGGGG